TCCAAGCCGCGACTCCCGGTTCCACATCCGCATTGGCGCTCTGCGCTAACGCTCCTTTCTTCTCATCGTCGGCTCCTCAAGCCTTGCATCCATCCAGCCGCAGACCGTTCAACAGCACCGATCTCTCCGCTGAACAAAGCGGGGCTGTGAAAATGCTGCCCATTACAGGCGCAAGACACAAGCGCCCCCGGAGCTGTCCAGCAACGACAGTCAAATGGCGCCGACATTCCTCCCAATCAAAAACAGTGCTGGCATACCCATGCTGCCGAGAAGGCAAAACCACCAAGCACCGAGTCTCCTCCTTGATGAATGTCGTGGCCAAAAAATGCTGAAAACAGTCCACATCAGGTCCACACGACGTAACAACAAACACAAAGTGACAAAACAAACAGAAAAACAACAAAAAAAGCAAGGCTCATGAGAGCACTTGCAGATGGCTGCCTACTCGGGCGCCATCTTGGACTCCTCTGTGAGGAGAGGATCAATAATTGAGTCATATCAAAGCATTCAAATGTAAGCACAAACATATTTTCAAGTGTGGCGATCGTTGCCTTACTGGTGATGAGAGAGTTAAGGATGAGAGAGGAAGCCTTGGTCTTCACCACACTTGTGGACCTGGCGGGGGCGCCCTCCAACATGTTAGACTGACAGGCCGCAACACCTTCGTCCTCCTGGTGGCCAACCACATGGACCAATTCTTAAAACGCATCTCCAATAAGAACAGATTTTAATACAGCGCCTTTCAAGGGGAATCAAAGATTCGATTTGGGGTTTTCCCAAGAACGTTCAGATTTGTTAAAATGAGGAAAATACAGATGAAGTGCGATGAGAAGGGAGACCTTATTTTATTCCAAAAAAGTCAGAAATTTATGTGATAAAAAAAGCTATTTTATTTTAGCTATCCTCCAAACTCTAAACACTTATGGAGTAGAAGACCATTGCATTGGAAGGTTTAGGGTTTGTGTACCACCTCAGCCAAGAGGTTGAACTTCCTCTCGGGCACGACGGGGCGCCTCCACAGGTTGGTGATGTTAATGTCGTGTGGGGGTGTCGACATGGGTGCCTCTAGGTTGTCATCGTAGCTGAGCGCCCGGCGGGTCATACCGATGGGGAGCTTCATCCCGCCCATCCCAGGCCCTTCGAGAGCTGCAGAGGAAATACCACTGCTATTTCACAAAATTCTTCAGAAATTTCAATACCAGGAATATTATTTCCAACTCACCTGGTAAGTCACCTGAACCAGACATGGCTTCGGTACTATGAGGAGCAAAGATCAGTGAGTTCCTATGGGAAAAGGAGAGGTAAAAATGAGAATTACAATGAACTTCACTTTAGTGCAGGAATGCACACAAATACAAAGTTAGTGTGGAGTATTAAAACTAACTTGTGATTAGAGTTGCAATGGAAAGTAAAGGCTGGCAGTGGATGGGCTCATCGCACCCAGCTGTGTTAATGTACTGTGGACCGGATTGATGGGGAGGCTGGGGTTACAGCAGGTCAGCTGGGACACAAGTCCTCTGGCAGTGCATTGTGGGTGGGGCAACCAGCAAGGCCATAGGAGGAACTGCACAAGCGTATTAAATGTCAACACAGCATTTTTGGAAGACCGTGACCAACAACAAAAAGCACAATGTTCGCCACAAAGTAAACCAGGTTAGGAGTACAAAAGGCCAAAGGTATAGATATAGGAATTTTAATTTTTATATACATAGGAATTTTCGACGTTTCACCGTTGAAGGGTGTTTCTAACTTCAACGGATTTTTTTCCCAGCTAAACGGCGGTTTAGGTACATGTCATCGCGGCCGAATAGGAGAGTGGTGGCTCCATCACATACACGCGCATATTAAGCTTTTATGCACTCTCGGCATGAAAATACGATGGCTTCGTTCATCCGTGAAATTTCTGAACGCAGTTTGGCGCCGCCGATTGAGGAACCATTTGATACCTAAGGACAAACAGATGCGACACAACCCGCGGCCAAACATCTCTCACGGCGGATTTTCTTTCTTACCGCTGCGAAAACGGAGACTTCGGGGCGTGTGGCTATAGTAACCGGTGAAAAGCTCCGCAGACGAGCGAGCGGTACATGGATAAATGGATGATTTTGTCGACGGCCATTATGCTGATTTAGTATGAAAAGATTTCCGGGACGGAAAGGTGACGTCGCCTCAGTCTCGCGAGAGTTTGTGGGTGTGTTTTAGAGGAAAGATCCATCTTACACCTTGCTACTAACTTCGACGTTAATTCCTATTGTATTCATTAGTTACAGAACCAGCTATTGTATAACAACTATTTTTTTTATGTGAATTGTACGGTTACGACTGAAACATGAATGGCTCTTTGGCTCTTGTGTCTCCAAGGGGTCCTGTTTGTGATACCGAAGTCTGTCTGTGAACTCGTCCCCCCCAACCCCGACTTTGCAACGCTGACCTCCCAGTTCAAAGGGGCGTTCTGCTGCATTTTTCTTCGTCGGAATTCGGAAAACTCCAACTTCCCATTTTCTTCGAATGCAATACAGCGTGAGCAGTTACACAATGACGCAATACAAAATGGCTCGCTGTTACATTCGTGTGCAGAGGGGTGGACGTTTCCATGGCGACCAGCGAACACGATTTATGACTTCATGTCTCGTAAACGATGGGAAGAGCTGTTTGAGCATTTATTCCATACGATACCCATCTGTATCTCCATGCACTACTGCACTCTTAGTCCTCACTTAGTAAGAGAACTCAGTGCAATAGTAGAACGACTGTCTTTCTACTGTAACTATATTTTTAAAATAGTGTACATTTTTCCAAACTAGTGAGGCAAGTTTGGCATATTCGTTGGAAAACATGTTACTGGTGAGGAAAAACTGGACACTAGTTGACATCTGCGCATTATTAGTCGTAGTTAAGATTGTATTACGTTATTAGTAAAGTGAAGCACATTAAACATACCAAAGTAGCTGAACACGCACAGATATGGAATAAATGCTCGAAGGGCTTGCCAGAAGTCGATTTGTTTGAACTTTCTCTCGGTTCCGCCCACCTCCAGAGGCAGAGTAACTACAGTACTGTATTTACATGCCGAGCAAAAGGACCTCCCCCCGTGGCGCTGGCTTCTCCACCCCACCCCCGGGAGTGACTCCACTAACCGGACTTTCCTCCCGAGTGCTGCCCGCAGAGGAGGAAGTAACATCGAAGGACTCACTTCTTCTCTCCGGGGAGGAAAAAAAAAACACACCAGGAACTAGCTCGTTTTAAACGCGTTCACAACTTCTTTTTCCCAACAAACTTTTTTTTTGCCCGTATCTCCACAACAATGTCCGTCCAGAGCCAGAAGACCACCACGACCACCTCCACCTATCGGACGATGAACGTGGCCTCCCCCGAGCCGGTGAGCAGCAACACAGTGCTGACCACGACCGGGACAGCCCGCTCGGCCTCTCCGCTCCAGTACGCCGTCAACGGCGGCAACTACAGCACGTTGCGTTACCTGGTGCCGGTGCAGCCGACCGTGCAGCAGCAGTCCTACGTGCTGGTGCAGCAGCCGGCGGTCATGCAGCAGATGATGTCGCCCGTCTACCTGCAGGGCGTCCCCCGCGTGAGCGTCAGCAGCTTGGATTCAGAGCTCCTGTTCCAACAGAACACGGTGAGGTCACCGCTTGACTCTTGCCGGGTCAGCAAACACAAAGCGCAACTACTTCACCACTGCCAACTCCAAGGAAAAAAGTTGTTGAACTCTTAACAAGTAAAGCGTTTCGAGTCTTTGATAGCCAGCTTAATGTCCACGTACAAAGTACTAGTACACTCTTTGTCCATACCAGAAGAACAATTTTGGGATAATGGTCGGACTAAATGTTACTAATTGTGAAGCGAAACTGTGCGCTGGTTGACACCTGCGTGCTACTAGTAACTAGTGACAAAATCCTACTAATCCATAGCTAGCACTTAACTAGTACGACTAGTAACGCCCAGCTGCCAACTACTGCGCAGTCGTGGCTCAGTCTGTTTTTTTGCTGATAAACTTACCTCTTCATTGCTGTACGCACCTTGTGATTTGCTGCCAAGGAACTATGTTGAAGTAAGTTGAAAAGTCGTGCTTTGCCTGCATCTTGTCACATCGATTGGCAACTTTTTTTTTTTTAGTGAGGGCATCAATTACTCGTAGATTTGAGGGGACACTCCTGCCTTGCACTACTCAATGGCAGCTCTGCACACTAGTTAGGACAACTTTGGCGTACAAGTTGGGCAACTTCACGTTACTAGTGAGGCTACTTGACATCTGTATGTGACAAATACGATTAATAAAGCTTGAGATATTAACTGGGAGAATGTAGTCACTCGTGGTTTGAGAGGCACACAGTTGTCAACGAGTTTTTGCCTCACTAGTAACGTGTTGTTACGATGTGAGAATGCCCAAATTGTCCAGCTAATGTGCACGTTTTAGCACAATAGAGGGGGAAAAAAAACAGTGATACACAGTTGTTCTAGTAGAGCGCCCTTGTCTTACTAGCTCGAACAAAGAACGTACTCGTACATGGACCTGAAGCTGGATATCAAGGATGTGGCAAAAATGCTGAAGCGACATTATTCTTCAAGTACATGACGCGCAAGACCTGTACAATCCATCGAGCAACATTCACAGATTTAAATGTTTATCATTGTCCTTTTCCACAATAATGATTCGTTTGACTTCTCTCATTCACACGACCGCGTATGCATGTTGAAAAGACAATGAAACCTCCAAAGTTGATCAGAACTCAAAACGGCAACCACACGGGAAATCTCGTGAGAATCTAAAAGGACGAATGCCGCTCGGAGCAGTGAAGTGCTCATGTCACCTGTATGAGTTCGGAATGTTGACGTGTTAAAACGTTTTTTGGCAGATGGATGAAGCAGATGGAATTCTCACCACCTTATTTGCAGACGGCGTAAAACTGGCTTTTGAAATTCCCACTTTGGAGGTTGCACTGTTGCATAAATCAACCGCAAGTGATGATGTGTCTTAACTTAGCGATGCGATGAGTATGGGCGTGTGCATTGTGAGCAGCGAGTTTCATAATTGTCAGGATGCACTGTGTCATTTTGCATTGAGGTATTTGGCTGCATCATCATATTCCGGCTCCTTCTTTGCATGCTTGGAAAAGACGACAGCTCGTGGAGCTGTCGTCTGCGTCTGTTTGTGGGAGGGATGCATGATGCATCAGCGTACGCATGTGCATGTGGCGTCATCTGACCGCATCTTAACAGGCTGACCCGTTTGTCATCATGTTGGATGAGTGCTTGTCACTCGCACCGGTGTGTCTTTTTCATCCCATCCTGTGAATGGAATGGGAATGAAAGAAAAAAAAAACATCTTTGTAGGATACCTGCTTCCGATTGGGGCTCATTTGGGCAAGTTCTCAAGTGGGGAAATGGCAAAGCCAAACCAAAATGGCCGACTTCCTGTTCAGTTTGGGTGCTTGCGACTTTTTGTGTGTGTCCTGCTGTGATAGGTGTCCACCCCGTTTCGCAACGATCAGTGAAACTGTCGTTGGGGATTGATTTTTACTTTTATTTTTTCCCCCCAACTTTCGAGCACTGGAACTCATCCCAAAATGGCTGCTACAACAAAATGGCCGTCTTCCTGTTCAGCTTCCTGCATGCATCCCTGAGAGTTTTCCATCTATCCAGTTACCTGTTGTCCTGATTATGTGTTAATCAGTGAAAATGGTGTTGGGGCTAACTTTTCAGGGGTGCTACTTGGTGAGTTTAGGGGATACATCTTTAACAGTCCTCTGATGATACATTGAAGGTTCTGCAAATACTTCCAGAGTGACTTCACTAACCTCTTTCAAAAATAATACATCCACTTCCTGTGCTTTGGTTTTCATTTGGACTCTACCATTCTTTAATTTTTTTTTTTTTTTTAATGTCAGGTGAAATTGATGTAGAATTACCATTGACTTTATTTTCTATCTCCACTTGAGAACGCTTACCAGTACTGTGGGTGTATACCTGGCATGCCTTAGTGTGTCGACAACCTG